AAGTAGGACATGTGGGGGAAAAAAGAGGACGTCTGGTCCCCCTACCATATCAACAATCTGATGTTTCAGTGCTTGTTGCTATGATGCGTCTTTGCTCAGCAGCTTTGCTCGTTGTAAACCGACCAATCAGAGCACAGCTCATCTAAATATTCATGATCAAACCATAAAAGGAAGAAAACCTGTGGTTTCATTCTGGGGCTTTAAATTCTTTCTCTAAATACGCTGAATAATGTGTCTCAGATCTTTGTTGGATTGTTTTTCTGTTTATTTCAACCAGCTCTAGTTTTTTAGAGTTGGGACTTTTCTTTTCATCACGTCCCAGTCAGATATTTAATCTATAACCTGTTGATCAGGTCTCCTTGATTGTCTTTGGATCTAATATCTAGTCTTCAGATCTAGTCCTAATCCCCAATGAGGACTAGATCCCTTCTTTCCACCAGACTCACTGCTTCCCTTTCAGCTGCTGGTGTTTCTGAAATGTTTCAGGTCCTGAGTGGGTGAAACTCTCCTGCTGCGGCTGTGGGGCTTCAGTGCATGAGTGGGTCAGGAGATAAGCTTTGCTTCATGGTTTCAGGGTCAGCCTGCTGCTGCCTGCTGGAGCTGAAACAGGTTCTAGTTTCTTTGTTCTCAGCAGAGCGTCTTTGATCCAGGAAATCCTCCTGGGAACGTCTCCTCTGCCGTTTTTTAACGTGGGAATGAGAAGCTTCTTTCTGTCTTTGGACGGGTCTGTGTTTGTGATTTCCACTCGCTGAGGTCAGACTGGAACAGGAGCAGAAGTGTTGAAATATGGAGAAACGTTTCTGGCGCCTTTACTCCCCAGAAATGTTTTTCTCTCGGCAGAAACAAGCCGATAAAACTGATTCCAGGAGGATTTACAGCTTGATCCTGATCCAGGTTGAATTAAAATGTTTTCCAGGATAAAGCAGAACTTATTGTTTGGTTTAAATCTGCGGCTGGCGAGTGGTGAGTCAGCTGACTGCACACAGGAGGCGCCGGTTCCAATCCCAGCTGGAGGAATGAGCTGCCAGTGTCCTTAAGCATGAGCCTACCTCTTATAACCAGGGCCGGATTTAGGACATTTTGGGCCCTTTGTAAAGACAGGCAGGGGGCCCCTCTGAATGGAGAAGACAACACATGGAACAGCCCCATTCTCCAGATGTAGAAATGTTAATAGAATAGACATCCATTATCTGTTCTAGGTTGTGTCCCTCTCTTCTTGTCCCTTTTCTTCTTGTTTTCCTCTCTATGTTTTGTACTCAGCTGACTT